AGCGCTGTTGTAACTTCAAACGGTCACTAAATGAATGGCAGTAAGTCAAGGACTGCCTGTATAGATAGTCCTCAACTTATGACCAGAATTTGTGGTGCTTAGCAAGGTGGTCATTAAGCAACTTGTGCCTGGCTTTATGACCTTTTTTTACAATGGTTAAATGAACCCCTGTGATTTTTCAGTGAGTAATGCAGTCATTAGCCGAATCTCGTCCCAAAACTTTGGTTTGTTGGAAGCCAGTTGGGCAGGTCACAAATGGCTATCAGGTGACCCCCAGGATGCTACAACCATCACAGATACAGAATGTCCTCAACTTACAACCACAACAGAACCCAAAATTTCTGTTGCTAAGTTGAATCCTGTCATGCCCACGTTGGAGCCTGAATTCGGGGAGGAGGATGAGTTGGAACTGTGGCTGATGGAGACTAAGGGGACAGCTTCGTTGGCTTTGGAGGAATGTGGAGAGCAGCTGGGGTACCAACCAGCCCCAGAATTTTGTGGACCTTTGTGCCTGCTGCACAAGGCTGCACAGCCAGCTTTCGATCCCTTTGAAAAAGGCCAAGAGAGAGGGGTCTTTCCTTACCTCTGAGGGCAAGATGTTCCCTAATACAATGGCAGTAGTAGAAAAGACCCTCTTCCTAGACCCTGCCAGTCAAAATTCTTTGACTGAGGTGGTCTGCACTATAACTTCCCTGCCTGATGAAGAACGGTTGCAGGAACTGGGTATAGCTAGTCTAGAGAAAAGGACTGGGGTGGGGGGAATATGATAGCAATCTTCCAGTATTTGAGGGACTGCCACAAAGAGGAGAGGGTCAACTTATTTTACAAAGCATCAGAAGGCAGGATGAGAAACAACAGATGGAAGTTATTCAAGGAGAGAAGCAACCTGGAATTAAGAAGAAATTTCCGAACAGTGAGAACAATTAACCAGTGGAACAGCTCGCCACCAGAAGTTGTCAGTGCTCCAACAGTGGTGGTTTTTAAAAAGAGACCGGACATTCATGTGTCTGGTATGGTGTAGGGTCTCCCACTTGAACTTGAACTAGAAGACCTCCAAAGTCCCTTCATGGGCTACCCTTTCATAGGTAGCCCAGCCCTCTAGCATATATACATGGATATAAAGGCAGGACGGCGTCTGGCGAACATCTTCTCCCCTGGGCTAGGTTGATCCTCTGAGCCCTTTCCCTCTCATACACCCTTGGCAAAGGAGTGGGATCTTTCATGCCATGCTTGATCTCCATCTGAGGAGCCCCCGGAAGGGTCCTGACAGTTGTTCTGTGTGCCAACTCGGGCAGCACCAGTGCTGGAGACTGAACCTTCTTTCTGACCTCCACTGGAGCTGGGGAAGACTTCACAAGCAGAGGCAAGACCTGCATGGTTCGTTGAGTGGCTGAGGGATGGGAACTGGACAGGCGGGAACCAGAGAAGTGAGCTTCCTGGTTGTCTCACAGCCGTGGGTCATTATTGATCTCTGCATTGAACTCATTGCTGTCCTTTAGGAACCACAACTTTTTCAGCATATGAGTCATCCTGCCACGAAGAGTGATCGCTAGAGCCGGAAGCAGATCCTATCAATAAAGAATATTTTTAACTCCAGGTTGAAAAGAGGGGTCCTTGGTGCTCCCATCCATCCGTCTATCTATCTACCTATCCCTCTATTTATCCTATCTCTCTCTCTCATCTATATCATATCTATTGATCTATCATATCTATCATATCATGTATCAATCATATCTCTCTCTCTCTCTCATCTATCTATCTATCTATCTATCTATCTATCTATCTATCTATCTATCTATTTATCTATCTATCCAGAGGTATCAAACTCAAGGCCCATGGGCTGAATGCGGCTTGCGATGTGGTTGGATCCAGCCCATGGGGCATCCTGGTCTACCCAATGCGAACAGGAAACATGCCAGCAGTTTGGGCAGTGGCGTCAAGTTGGCTACGCCCACCCAGTTGACCACACCTGCCCAGTCAATCACACCCACCCGGTCGGTCACACCTACCCAGCCCTCCAAGGTCAACCACAGCTCTGATGCGGCCCTCAATGAAATTGAGTTTGACACCATTGGACTAGACAATCACTTATCTGAAATGGTATAGGTTCTCCTGCTTGACCAGGGGGGGAGACTAGAAGACCGCCAAGGTTCCTGCCAGTTCTATTTTATTCTGTTATACTCTATTCTTTACTTCTTGTCCTGCCTTCAGATGCTTTGAATAATAGATTGACTCACTTCTTTGTGGCAGCACCTCAGATATTGGAACACTGCTATCATGTGTCCCCTGGTCCTTCTCTTCAGTAGACTAGCCATACCCAATTCCAGCAACCGTTCTTCATATGTTTTATCCTCTTTGTTGCTCTTCTCTGCACTCTTTTTAGTGTCTCAACATCTTTTTTACATCGTGGCGACCAAAACAGGATACAGAATTCCACATGTGGCCTTACCAAAGTTTTATAAAGTGGTATTAACACTTCATATGATCTTGATTGTATTTCTCTGTTGATGCAGCCTAGGTCTGTGTTGGCTTTTTTGCATCACACTGCTGGCTCATATTTAAGAAATTGTCCAGTAATGACCCTACAATCTATAGCATAGTGAAAGGACTGACCACAGGAAATGTTTTATGACAATTTATATTATGTCATAAAACATTTTATAACATCTGCCAAATTTCAGTTCCACAAGAGTTATTGGTTCTAGATTTTGGATGCATTCTGTAAATTAGTCCAGTTGAGGTACTATAGTTTGGTTCAAAAATTATTGCCCTGTGATGAACTATTTTAGTAGGATACGGACTGGACAACTCATGACTCCCTGAATCATCCTTTCAGTGACATTTCTTTACCAGATTCCTTAATGTCTTCAACAATGACAGCTTCTAATGTGTTGCCTTTACTGGAAAAGTTGGTATACATTTATACATGTATCTGTCTTGAAAAAAACACATGTTGAATTATATTAGCACATTTAAACATCAGCACAGGAAATATTTTATGACATTTTGTATTATGTCATAACATTTATGATAACTTTTTCATAAAATGTTTTATAAAATCTGCAAACTCTTAGTTCCATATGAATCATGGGTCCTAGATTTTGGAAGCTTGTCGTACCTTGGTTCAAAAAAAATTGTCCTATGTTGCACTTTTTCACCTTGTTACAGGTTACAGGAATCAGAATTTTAGTAACATATAGATGGATTTGTAATACCTTTATTTTCTCATGTTTTAAGGCTTCCTGTGCAAACCAAATTTGCATCTATTACTCTGACACCAACCTCCCTATAATATAATCTTGGTAATTTTTACATATCACCATACAAAAGCTACCATGTATTGATTGCTAGCTAAAATCAATAATATTTTAACATAACTCCGTCCTATAACTGTTGTTCTTATGTCTTCTGTTACCCAGTTTTATAGCTACTTTAGTTTTCTCACTTTGAAATCAATGTGAAACTAGCATATGAATAATTGAGGCTAGCACAGGCACAGTTGCATTTAGACACTGCTAATTTTTGTGTATGCAAAACAGAGAAAAGGATAACTTAGTCCTTGGAAAATAGTACTGTGAAAGTGAAATGCACTGTCACAGAAAGTGAAAATATCTTTTGAGTTGCAAAGCTCAAAAAGCAAAAAATTATGAATGTTGACCCTAACCTCAATTGAAACATGCAAGTTAAGTGTGGATAAAGCACTCTGCATCTATCAGAATACATATGAAGATTTAAAGAAAAACAATACAGTTTATACTACTAATATATTTTGAGAGACAACAAAGATGTTTTGGTTCAGTGCGTAAGCTTTTAGAAATGATATTTAAAATTCTTAGTTTTATTTTGCTTTCTATAATTGTTCTGACATTGCTATCCATAATTTAAATTCAATTCTTTTTATTCTTTACTATAATATCTAACTAGTGAATGTTTAAATATTTATCTTTTCCATCAAGCTGGAATCAGTTACCATATTTTCCACAAAAATGTAACTTTGAATGTGAATAATCTCATTTTGTGGGATTCATTTGCTAATTGAGATCTATCTATAATAATTAATTATAGGCAGTTCTGCTTCTCATTGCTGTTCATAATACTTTTCCCCCCGAGTACCATTGTATGTGTGTGTGTGTGTGTGTGTATGTATGTATGTATGTATGTATGTATTTCCTTCCTTCCTTCCTTCCTTCCTTCCTTCTCAGGACTACAGTTAGTCTTCGACTTACGACTATAATTAAGCACAAAGTTTCTGAGACATTTTTTAAATGAGTTTTGCTCCATTTTACCTTTCCTGCCACAGTTGTTAAATGAATCACTGCAGTTGTTAAGTTAGTAACACAGCTGTTAAGTGAATATGGCTTCTCCATTGCCTTTGCTTGTCAGGTCGCAAAAGGTGATCACGCGACTCTGGGACCATGATAAATATTCAGTTGCCATGCACTGAACTTTGATCAAGTGACCACATAGATATGTCATAAGTAACATTTTCAAGTGCTGTTGTAACTTTGAACGGTCATTAAATGAACTGTTGTGTCGAGAACTACCTGTATATGCATCTGAAGTGAACTGTGACCTATGAAAGCTTATTCAATAATCATACAATAAATCTATAGGTTTCTATGGTGAACACAAAATTTTGAAATGCCAAGCTAACATTCCTCCCAGTTTCTGCTTATATTTTCTCTTTTGATAGATTTAGTAAATAGACCCACAAATAAAGTTATTGAGGAAATATTACCAGATTTTTTTTTTTTTACTTTCGACATAAACAAATGAAAGGTTCGTGTTGCGTTGCGATCCAAATGAAAAGATCCACGTCATAAAAAGAGACCACACTGAACCACCAATGAGCTCCTATGCGAATCTAAAGGAATAACGAACTGGTCAACCCAATCAGCAACGGCAGAAAGGTCGACGTTCCTGCCTGATTCAGTTTCCAGGTTAGCCAATCAGAAGGAAACTAATAGTAAGTGTAGGCGGGAGACAAGCGCACGCGCACGGATGTCCGTTACTTCCAGGCAGCGCGCGTACGCCACTGGAGGGAAGCGTGGAGAGGTCGGGCGCGCGGGGTAATCTCGGTTGTGAGGTAACGCCGGGCGCGAGGCGGTTATCTGTTCCTTTTCGACAACGGAAGGTGCAAGCGCCGTTGTAACTACCCCGAGCTCAGCGAGAGAGAGAGAAAAAAAAAGAAGAATCCTGCTTCCGCCTTAGGTCGCCTCTGAGAGAAACGACCGCAGCGTCAGGTTCGATTATCTTCTAGGCCGCTGTGGGCGGGGTTTATACGGATTTGGCCGGCCCACTCGGGCCCCGCGCATTTTCAGGATGTCGGCACAGGCTCAGATGCGCGCGATGCTGGACCAACTCATGGGCACTTCCCGTGACGGTAAGAACTGCTGCTTACTAGTCAAGCTAGGGAGTCCTCCCAGAGGCATGTTGACGGAAAAACAGAAAGGCCCCATGTGATGATTGGCAGGGCTTGTGTCTCGATTTTCTTTTCCTCTCCATTAGGGGCGGGCCTCAGACAAGGGTGAGAGAGACTAGAGGCCGGCTTTCGGCACTGAGAATAACGGGAAGGTTTGGGTGTACGGTTCGTTTCAGGAAACGGGAGAAAGAGTTGTGTATTCGGGAACGGGAGGATTAATATCTTTGTTTCCAGGGCATTAGGGTCGAGACAAGGGTAAGCTCATGCTGATCTTGCAAAATGATCTGGTCCTCATTAGCACTGAAATGTGAAATTGTGCCATTTCTATTGTTCGTCAGTAGACTTACCTAATTAGAAGAAAGGAAAAAGGCGCTCAGCTTGTTGCTAGTACTGCACACATATATATCTGACCCAAACCAGCATTTCAAGTTAATTCCTATCCCTGATATTAAAATATTTCTGGCGGCACAAAATATATAAAATTCATATTTCAGGATTTATTTTTATATTTCTTGGCAAATGTATTAACAATTTTAAAAGAATTTATTTTTTGAAAAGTTTACTTTGACAAAATAGGTATATGTTGTGATGAGCCATTTATTTCTGAGCAGTATTTAAAGCAGTTTCTGCAGTAAACATTTTAGTCCCTTTGTGAACACATTTTGAAGCAATGTAGTGGAAAAGGGGGAAATGTTGCATAAAATGTTAGGTATACAACATAAGCTTAAAATTGGTTCTGACTGAAGACTAATCTTAAGAAATTTCTAACATATGAATCTGCTTACACAGATTAATGAGTGTATTTCCATTGGGAAATACAGTAATAAACCATGCATGGTAGATTGTTTTTCTATTTTGATTTTCTGTTACATTATAATCATTTTATAAAGTGATAAAATGATTATAACTTTTGATGTAAGTAAAATACAGTGATCTCCAGCATTGTGTTTTGCTTAGGAGCATTTTTAAATCATTAATAGAAAGGTGAAGTTGGCAAGATAATCATTCCCAAGAAAGCTATTTTGTAAACAAGAGACAGATGACAAAGACCTTTAAAGCTGTGAAATCAATAGCCATCATGCCATTGACTGAAAGAAGTGGGGAGATGAGATCTAGGATTCAGACCTTGGGACTTTACATATTTAGAAAGATAGGACTTCTAGGTGGTGGTAGATGGAGAATTTTTAGTAGCAATAGCACTTATATACTACTTTACAGTGCTTTACATCCTTCTCTAAGTGGTTTACAGAGTCAGCATATTGCCCCCAACATAATGTCCTCATTTTACCCATCTTGAAAGGATGGAAGGCTGAGTCAACCTTGAGCCTGTTGAGATTTGAACTGTCAAACTGCAGTCAGCTGGCAGTCAGCAGAAGTAGCCTGCAGTACTGCATTCTAACCACTGTGCCACAGTGGCTCATAGTATGCATTACTTCCTATTTTTATCCTTTTGGGAATGTGGAATAATTAATTTACCAGGTAGGAAACCATCTCTGCCTTTTTACTCTTACTCTTTACTCTTTTTACTTTTACTCTTACTTTGCAGCATCTCCTGTATTCCAACACTAATATTAAGTAACTGCTACAGATTTTCTTGTACTCCCACTAACTGGATCAGGGTGTCAATACCACGCATATAATGAACCATGCAGCCTAATATGTCATAGAAATTGCCCAAGCAGATGGTTCAAGGTCTGTAACTGCTGTCTTTCCAACACTTGAAGACCAGAACGTCCAAAGTATCAACCCTGTATTTAAGGTGAAGAGGGTATGTTTTGGGAACATCTGACTCTAAACATTTTTTGGTAATTTTGTTCCAATCTACAAGGGCTTAGAGGAACTCAGTGATGTACCTTAAAATGTCCCCTTTTGCATTTTTTTTCTTAAAATAGGCCATTTCATTCCATGTATCTGCCTCCCCTTTGCTCCCAATAAAGTCTGCTTATTCAATAGTAATTGATTCACATTATACTCTTTATTTTTGAAAGGCTGTATTTCATTTTTGAATATATAACTTTGCTTGCCCTTGTTTCCATCATCCACAGTTGCAGAAACAGGATACATGCCACTTCCGAACAGTATCTTTATTGGTATATGAACTACCAGCAATTATTTGGCATTTTACCTATGCTTGAATTAACTATTAATTATTTTGTTCATAATTTAAACCCATACGTGGTTATTTTTACACTTGCTACTAATGTATCCCATCCCTTCCTCCTCCCAAAGGCCCTCATTTTTCTCCAGGAAATGTAAACAGTTCAGAGCCTCTTAAAGAATCAGTTGGGTTGTCCAAAGCTTCTACAAATATCCTCGTAACTGTCATTGCCAAGAAAGTCTCACCAATCATCTAGAAATCGAATTGGGCTTTCTATCAATTTTTTTCCTATATATGATAATCATCTGACAATTTAAAGCTGGATACTATATTTTACTGAAACATTTCCATTATTTTTACTTTTCCATTCAGTATATCTTTGTTTACCGCTTACATACACTGAATACATTTCTGTTCATCTTATAGACTAGTAGAAGAAAGACTTCCAGATAGAAAGTACTTTGCGCTTCACAGAAGGGTATTGTGAAATATTTGTTGGAACAAATATCAATACAAGAAAAGGGTTTATTTTCCTTTCTTTTTCCTCCTTTGATAATTCAATTTGCAGTATTTCATAAATCAAACCTCCTGACCAAACATTCTGGCTCTGGGGCATCTATTAGCAGTTCTGTTTCTGAGATGGAAAAGGCTTGCTTGAAAAGGGGGGTGGGTGACATTATAGTTGCTAGCACTCCTGGAAAAACATCTGAAAAAAGGGCTTATGAGATTTTAAAGAGGGAATTAACTAAAAATGAAGTGGAAATACATTACTTCTTAATATCTCCAGCCAGGAAGAAGGATGAATTGAAAGTGTTAAAGCAGGAAAATGTTGGTAGTTACAGCTATTGAAATAGCAGAAATGAAGAGGACGCAACAACTTCACATCTCTGTAAGACCATTTCTGCTATCTCCAGATCCATGGGGAACAGGAAAATAGGAAGGGAAATGGTATAAGGATTGAAGATGGCAGGACAAGAATCTCTGGTTTCAGCATCAGAAAAAGCAGTTTTAAAAATCAATACCAGGAATCTTCAGGGCAGTGAAATGAGTAAGCTATGGTTTTTGAATCAAAAGGCAAGAGGAAGTGAGCTAATATTTAAACCTTGGAATTAGCTTTAAAAGTAGGATTTCTAGGTAGATGATAAATATCTTCTATATATGGTTTTCTAATTCTGTGCAAGAATTCTACTTATCTAACCTAGCTGAGTATATTTGAATACACAGAATGAGAAGTCATGTGAGAATTAATTCAAGTGTCAAGATTTTTTTATCATTTAGACTGGTGAGTCTCAAACTTTTCTTCAACATGGAACCCCTTTAAATACCTTTGGTGGCCACAACTCATGACCATGGACCCCCAAGACTTAAATCAAGATTTAAATCATAACATTTCTTCAAGACTTTACGGACCCCCTGTGATGACATCACAACTCCACATTGGTTCGCAGACCACAAATTGAAAACTACAGTACTGATTTAGACCAACATAAACAATATTTCATAATGAAATTAAATTGCAAAGTTATTCTTTAAAATTAAATAGGATGTCCAGGGAATCCTTTATTATTGAGTCAACATTTGAGTAATTTCAAGTTCATGTCAAATGAACTTTTTTTGTTTTTACAAAACATTTTCTTAGTATACAGTTAACAATGACTATTGAAATGTTTGTGTAGTGTTTAAGAGCCTACAATGTACTCTTACTCATTTTATCATATCTATATATGACAGTGTATAACTGTCTCTTAGATGAATGTTTAAAGACCTATAGGCAGAGATATATTGAGATACGAAGCAGAACCTATAAACATCCATATATTGTTGAAGTAGAAATACAACCATACAACTACAGATAGAATTATTGATGATGAGGCCAGAGCAAATGACAATCATAGTTCAACTATTCCTGGAGAACAATGGGTTTTCTCCACCTTTTTTAAATAGAAGTGCAGCTCATCAAGCTATCAACATTCTTGTGATCTTGATTGCTCAGCTTGTTCTAATGTGTGAATCAAGATTTGGACATATGCAGACAAGCTGGCATAAATACATTATTGCTTCTCTTTATGACAGTGTATCAAGTGACTACAAAGACTATGTAGCTGGCTTGCGATCTTGCTAAAAACTGCAGGAATAACAGAATCCCAGTAAATCGGGCATCTATTTCAGTGGGTTGTGCTCCAGCATCACATTCCTCCTGTTCAGACAAAAACCACACTAAAATTACTATAAAACAAGTGTTTTAAAAAATGTATCTGGTTGAGTCTCCACCACTTGTTAATCCAAAACAAAAATTTTTGCAATTGATTTATAGTTGACAAAAAAGTCACAGTGCAAGGAGAATGTTTTTAGGAATGATTACATAATAAATGCAGATACAATTTCTATACAGTATATTGTAGAATAAAGTTGACAGAAAAATATATTATTGAAACCATTGGAGTGATTTTTTTAAAAAAAAGTTTATTAAGACCAAATATTGCATATAGTGAGGATTTGCTGTAGAAAATATACCAAATTGTAGTTGGGGGAAAACTGTCTAGATTTGTTTATCAGACTAATGCTGCTGTTTATGAACAAACATGAGTGGCATTAGCAGAATCATATTTTCAGAACAGAAAATAATCTTTCAAACACAAGGAAAAATATTTAAAAGGAGTAATCATACCTGTAGATGTATATTTCTATATATGCAATTCTGATGACTAATACAAATAGCTATGACCAATATTCCTATCTATAATGAGATTTGTTTAAATGAAAGTAATTGGTAGAATACACATTATTTAAAAAAAACTAGAAAAGGAAGATTAGATATTCCTTCATTGTGGAGCATGTTTAAAACATATTTTTATTTGTATTTATTTTTTTAGCATAGCAATTTCCTAGCCTTTAAAGTAATATTATAGTAGTTGTTGTTAGTTGCGAAGTCTTGTCCGACCCATCGGGACCACATGGACAATATTCTTCCAGGCGTTCCTGTCCTCTACCGTGTTTCTCCAACAATACGGCCTCCACCACTAGGAAGGCCCAGCATGTTTTATCGGCATAAAATCAAATTAAGCCCCTCCCCCCAAATTAAGGCCTATATTAAACATGTGAAATGGGGGGGAATGGTGGGGGGGGGCTTGCAGTTAGAAAGTACTTTTGTTGCATACCCGGATATGGTGCTGCCTGCGTTGACTTTGGCGTTGGTGGGGCACTTCGTATCGGGAGACCTTCCGCCACTGTTGCTTTTCCTTCTCCCTGTGCTGCCGCGCCGTTTAGAGCAACGCCGTGGCGTTTGGCGCAGCCACGCCCAGCCAGCCAGGGCTCCTCCCTGCAACCGAAGCCCGGCGGAGACACTCGGCTTCAGGTGCTCCTGTCGCCGCCTTCCCTTCGTCTTCAAAGCCAAAGCCAATTCTTTTAAAAACAACACCCTACTACCAGTACAACAAAGCCTCCCCTGCCCGAGAGGGCAGCCCAACCCCACGTGGGGAGGCGAATCTCCCGGGGCCACAGCGCAGGATCGGCCCACCCCGGGAGAAGCACCCAGCCGCCATCCCTGCCTGGCGCCAGGCAGAGTGCGAAGAGCTTCGCCTGGGGCGCCTAGCGCAGCTGACAGGCGGGCCCTCCTGCCCGGCAGAGCTCTCGCCAAGGCAGCGAGCGCCTCCCCGCTGGACCCTCTGCTCATCCTGTCAGGGCCGCGCCAGAGCCGTGCGGGCTGGGCAGAGCCGGGAAAGCAAGCCACAGGTGCGCGCCCACCTGCCAAGTGAAAGAGCCGGGGCCGACCCAAGCTTGCCTTCTTTCCCAAGTCCCTCCAGCCCGAACCCGAAGGGGCCACCGGGAGAGGCTGCCCAAGGCAGTGATAGCGCCTACCCATCCGTGGACAGGGAGGCAAGGCGACGGCCTGCACCGCGTCCTCCGAGCTGAGCCCCACCGAGTCAGCGCCTCTGCCTGATGCCCATTCCGCTGCAGCGTTTGGAGCTGCCGGCGCATTTGGAGATGCGTGGGGATGGGCTGGGCGAGGGGTGGAAAGGACGGGCGGCTTCGGGCTCTGCCAGCCAGGGAAGCAGCGCTGCCATCACCTCGCCTCCCTGTCCGTGGACGGGTGGGCGCTATCACTGCCTCAGGCAGCCTCTCCCGGTGGCCCCTTCGGGTTCACGCTGGAGGGACTTGGGAAGGAAGCCAAGCTCAGGTGGGCCCGGCTCTCCCGCTGTGGCCCCGGGAGATTCGCCTCCCCACGTTGTAGTAGGGCATTGTTTTTAAAATAATTGGCTTTATCTTCAAAGGCAAAAGGAAGGCGGCAACAGGAGCGCCTGAAGCCGAGTGTCTCCACCGGGCTCCGGTTGCAGGGAGGAGCCCTGGCTGGCCGCACGTGGCTACACCAAATGCCGTGGCGTTGCTCTAAATGCCGCAGCAGCAAGAGAGGAGGGAAAGCAACGGTGGCAGAAGGTCTCCCGATACGAAGTGCCCCACCAACGCCGAGGTCAACATCCAAGCTGTCGCTGCCCGCCCACCCGAGGATGCAAAGAGGGGGGAATTAAGTCACCCCCCAAAAGACGGCCTAGCCTTTTTTTCGGGGGTCAAAAAAAAATAAGGCCCGGCCTTATTTTGTGAGAAACACGGTAATATCTTCTGGAGTCCATTGCTTCAGTGACTCCATCCAGCCACCTCATTCTCTGTTGTCCCCTTGTTCTTTTGCCCTCAATCTTTCCCAGTATTAGGCTCTTCTCCAGTGAGTCCTTCCTTCTCATTAGGTGGCCAAAGTATTTGAGTTTCATCTTCAAGATCTGACCTTCTAAAGAGCAGTCAGGGTTGATCTCTAGGACTGACCGGTTTGATCGTCTTGCAGTCCAAGGCACTCGCAGGAGTCTTCTCCAGCACTATAGTTCAAATGCCTCAATTCTTTGGTACTCAGCCTTTCTTATGGCCCAACTTTCACAGCCCTACATTGTAACTGGGAAAACCATAGCCATGATTATACACACTTTTGTTGGCAGGGTGATGTCTCTGCTTTTTAGTATGCTGTCTAGATTTGCCATAGCTTTTCTCCCCAGGAGCAAACATCTTTTAATTTTTTGGGTGTAGTCCCCATCTGCGGTGATCTTGGAGCCCAGGAAAATAAAATCTGTCATTACCTCCATTTCTTTCCCCATCTATTTGCCAGGAATTGAGAGGGTCGGATGCCATAATCTTAGCTTTCTTAATGTTGAGTTTCAATACCGTAGTAAGCCAGTGAAATAAAGAAAAGAGAAATTGTTTTGTGTTGAAAGAACTGATTTTTAAATGCAGTATTGGTATGATCAATTACCAAGAGCACTTTTGAGTAATTATTCATTTAATAATATTTAGTTAGCATAGTTTTGCAATTAAAAATATTCAAAGTGGCTTAACAAGTTTTAACATCTGTATAAGTGCCAAGTGTAATCTTTCCACTATATGAATAGACTGATTCTACCTACTTGTTATTCTGTGTGCAGTGATGCGTGCACAATTATGCTAACAGAAAAATGTTCTTGTTCATCAGATATAAAAAGTTATCAAATATATAATTGGTTATTTATTTTTAAACAATCGATGCTTTTTTCTGTAATATTTGATGTCCTACTCTTTTGAAACATAGCTTCTGCTGAAGTAGGAATTTGAGGGATTTGTATAATTTGTTATGGAAGTAATCATTTAAGTGTAGTTACAACAAGAATTAAAGGGTATTTGATTGATACGCACGCGCGCACACATACGTAAACACATGGATACACACACAAATAGTCATGTTTGCTTTTCAGTGGTAGGGAAGCAGTAATCTGGACAGCTACCAGGGAGTGAAAAATATAAGGTTTTCCTTTCTCACTTATTCTTTAGTTTATTGCTGCTCCACTAACACAGAAACCTGGAACTATAATTATTGAAAGAGTTACGTGTTGACCTGCATGTGGTCTCTGTGGACATGCTTCTGACATTATCTTAATAGGGTACCAGATTAAAATATTATAGTGTAATATATATACATGTAGATTGATTCATGTTGATGCATTTTGACATTTTAATTTTTTGCTTCATTCTAACAAACTTATTTTCATGATAAGATAAAATCAGGATCTGTATAGGTTAAAAAAGATTTCAGTAATAGTAGTAATATCAATAATGTTACTGGGGTAATTAGAGTAGGTGGAATGGGAAGAAAGTCATAGTTTATATATATATATATATATATATATATATATATATATATATATATATGTATCTTGATGTATTCAAATAATTGCTTATGATAGAATGTTACCTGAAAAAAAGGCGCACTTCTATTTCTGTAGAAGAATATGTAGTTAAATGTATGTATAGTGGGCAGATTTAATATTTTCTTATATGTATTGGTAATAAGCATGAAATTTGATTAGTATTTCCATATTCCTCTAAATTATTATTTGGTGGAGAACACATGTTTTAGGGAGCTAATTGTTATCATGAAACTATGTTGTAAATTAAAAGATAATATAAGGATTTTTTTTAAAAAGAGATACAAATATATAATTGCTTCCATATTTTAGAGTGGTGAAATATGGTTTGGGCCAGACATACTTTTTAAAGGAACTTACTGTTTCTAAAGAACGCTAAACTTGTTCATATACATTCATTGTGACAATTGCAAGAATACCCTGATCGCATAGAATATACAACAGTAAAAAGAAAATGCTAGTTCTGCTAGTTTCCATTTCTCTTTCAGTTACCATTGTTGAATGTTGATGAACAATCTATTTCAAAATGTGTGTTTTAAAATGTTTAAAAATTGATAATCCATTTTAATACTGATTTTGCATTTTGAGATAAGTTTTATCTGGAAACGAATGGGTTTTTAAAATGAAAAGCATTTTAAACAAGGCTGGAAATATATTTGAAATTCTAGGTATTGGGATAACATTTTTAAGCAAATTCCTAGATTGCTTAAAGTGGAAGATAAACAACATAGGGGCTTAGTAATCAAAATATTTTTCCAGCTATAATTTAGGTAACTTTTCTTAACAAAATTTCCCTTGAATACAAAGCTGACTCATTGTTCTCAGGCACAAATACTTCAGGTTTCCTATTACTCTTTACCTTCACAATGTATTTCTAGACACTGTAATTAAAATGCTGGCAGAGTTTATTATATACAAACTGAACAATATAGCCCCTTGTTTTATTTATAAAGGTTCAATGTATCTATGCCTGCCAACTTCATTCTGCAAGGGAGTGTCAGAAAGGCCCCGCATTCGCCGAGCCGTGAGTTATTGCTAACTTTTCAGATGTGTTAATGTGGAACCAACAATTTGTGTCTTTAAAAAGAGAGGAAAACTGGTGGGAAAATATCCCAGTTCCTCAATTTCTGCAGTAGTAGGTGTGGATTTTAAAGACAATTCCAAATTTTAATTAGTATAAAATTACTAAATCTAAAAACCTAGCTTCTGAAAACCTATTGTTGAACTACTCTGAAGCTTTGTGAATTGCTTATTTGACTAACCTTGATAAACATTGATATCAGAAACAAATACTTGAGCAGAGTACAGCCCATCTGAAAATGTTACATCATAGTTCTTTTTTAGGGCAAATAGTTATTCTGGAATTGCGCAATAGGTTGATTAGAAATTTGAAGTGTAGAATTGTTGCATAGGCTTAAATTCTTCCAATTTTATGAGAATAGGATAGTGGCTATATTTTTTATTTTAAATCTTTTTCCTTTTTGAAATGAATAATGTTGGGATAGAGTTTTAAAACTCCTGTTTTTTTTCCCAGCAGTGATATTCTGCTTCAGTAATTCACCAGTAGGTTTTCATTTTATATAATCATAATTTAAAATACATTTTAAAAAACCCTGGAAATAAAAGGATTGTATCCGGTTCTACATCTTTAGACTGAAAATACATTTTATGGAATTATCTTTTTCAAATCTGAGACAGTGATTATTTTTCTGCCCATTGTATTGGGGGGAAAATACCTGCAATAAATCAGTAGCCAGTGTTTTGCATATCATTTGGCTAAAACTTTTCCAACCTTGTTCACAGATGTGACATTAAATTTGTAATTGAATTTCAGTATGTGGTAAGCAGGTTGTTGCTTTGGGGTTTATAAAAGTTTGTAAAAAAAGTTCAATTTATCTTTAAGATGTTATATAGTCAAATAGAGTTCCTAACCAAATATAATCAAATAGATTGATGCTTTGGGGTTTTTAAAAGTTTGTAAAAAATTTCAATTTATCTTTAAGATATTATATAATCAAATAGGTTCCTAACCAATCTAGCTTACAACTTTGTTGTCCAAAAGGTAGAGGATGGAACTAGAGGGACAGCCATACTGGACTTAATTCTTACAAACAGAGAAGAAGTGATAGAGGGAGTTGAAACTGCAGGAACCTTGGGTGAGAGTGACCATGTCATACTAGAATTCAACATAACACAAACACAAGTAATAGAACATAATTAACACCAGAGTCTTTGATTTTAAAAGAGCTGATTCTAATAAACTCAGAGAGAACTTGGGAAAGATTCCATGAATGAAAATCCTTAAAGGGGAAAACAACTCAAGAATCTTGGGAAACTCTGAAAAGTATGATCATAGAAGCCCAGACCAGCACAATACCACTGAGAAAGAAAAACAAGAAATCCAAGAAGAAACCAGCATGGCTGCACAAAGATCTCTCTGGCAAATTGGAAGAAAAAAAAGGATATGTACAAAAAATGGAAAGAGGGACATACAACTAAGGCAGAATATCAGCAGATAGCCAGAATCTGCAAAGACGAAGTTAGGAAAGCAAAGGCTCAGAACGAACAAAGACTTGCAACAAAAGTCAAAGATAATTAAAAAAAAGTTTCTTCCAACTTATAAATAACAAGAAAAAAATCAAGAAAACAGTCGATCCACTAAAGAGAGAAGACAACAAGGTAGTAACAGGCAACAGAGAGAAAGCAGAGCTGCGTAACTCATTCTTTGCATCGGTCTTCACGCAAAAAGAAACTATAGCTCAACCCACCAAAAACATAACTGTAAAAGACAGACCAGAAATAAAAGTTAAAATAAGCAAAAAAAAAAAAAATAGTAAGAGAATACCTGTCTGATCTTGATGTACACAAATCACCAGGGCCTGACGGACTACATCCCAGAGTTTTAAAGGAGTTGGCAGAGGTAATCTCAAACCACTGCACCATATCTTTCAAAAATCCTGGAGCACCGGGGAACTACTAGAGGACTGGAAAAGAGCTGATGTGGTTCCCATCTTCAAAAAAGGGGGGAAAAACATACCCAGGAAACTAGACCAATCAGCCTAACATCAATACCCAGGAAGATACTGGAAAAGATAATAAAAAAACAGATCTGCCAACATCTAGAAACAAGTAAAGTAATAGCTAGCAGTCAGCACGGGTTTGTTAAGAACAGATCATGCCAAACCAATCTTATTTCATTCTTCAACATAGTCACTAAATTAGTAGACCAGCAAAATACTGTGGACATAATATACTTAGATTTCTGCAAGCCATTCAACAAAGTAGACCACAACCTACTTCTTGCTAAGCTAGAAAAAAGTGGGATAGATAGCACCACAACCAGATGGATTTGCAACTGGCTGACAAACTGTACTCAACGAATAGTCCTTAATGGGTCTAATCTACATGGAGAAAAGTAAGCAGTGGGGTGCCACAAGGTTCTGTCTTCGGCCCAGTATTCTTCAATATCTTCATTAACGACTTAGATGAGGGAATAGAAGGGGAACTTACTAAATTTGCAGATGCTACTAATCTGGCAGGAATAGCTAACACCCAAGAAGATAGGCTTGACATGGATCTTGACAAACTACAACACTGGGCCGTATCTAACAAAATGAAATTCAATGTAGAGAAAAGTAAAGTCTTACACTTAGGTAAGAAAAGCCAAAAGTACACATATAGACTGGGTAAAACCAAGCTCAATAGCAGTAAGTGTGAGAGGGATCTTGGAGTCTTCGTGGATAACCAGCTAAATATGAGCCAGCAGTGTGCAGCAGCAGCCAAAAAAGCTAATGCAATCCTAAATTGCATTAACAGAGGGATACAATCAAGATCAAGTGAGGTAGTAATACCATTCTATAAAGCCTTAGTAAGACCACACCTAGAGTACTGCATCCAGTTTTGGTCACCACACTATAAAAAAGATATTGAGACTCTAGAAAAAGTACAGAGAAGAGCAACTAGGATGATTAGGGAACTGGAGACTAAAACATATGAAGAACAGTTACAGGAACTGGGCATGGCTAGTCTAGTGAAGAGAAGGACCGGGGAGACATGATAGCAGTGTTCCAATATTTGAAGGGCTACCACAGAGAAGAAGGGGTCAAGCTATTTTCTAAATCACCTGTAGGCTAGACAAGGAATAATGGATGGAAACTGAACAGAGAGATTTAACCTGGAAATAAGGAGAAACTTTCTGACAGAACAATCAACCAATGGGACAGCTTTCCCTCGGAAATTGTGAGAACGTCATCACTTGAGACTTTCGAGAAGAGAATGGACTACCATTTGTCAGACATGGTGTAGGGTCTCCCGCTTGGGCGGCAGGTTGGACTAGATGACCTACAAGGTCCCTTCCAACTCCAATTATCTGTTAAACTAGAGGATTTCAGCTCTCTTGAATAATGCTGTCTGCAAGCATTGTTTTCCCAGTGATATAATACAGGTTTTGTTTTGTTTTTTAAATCTTCAATATGTGTTGCCTCTGCCAGAAGTAAATGGACCAGTGCCATGGATTAGCTCTTGAAGAATTGACAGCGGGAATTCAGTAAACATCAGAAAATGTAATGTAAATGTTTTGAAGGCTGTTCATGCTAATATAATCAATTTTACTGTTTTAGAAGCAATGAATTTCTACCTAGTGTTTAGGTTTTTTTACATTATTTTAGAAACTTGCATCCATTGTGGAAGCTGAAATGTTATAGTCCTAATATTTTTCTTTTGTGAAAAGCAGAATATTCTTTTGAACAAAAGTGAAAGTATATGAAAAGTATAAATGCTTTATACAATATAACATGATTCTCTAATCAGAAATGTATATTTCTATGTTTCAGGTGATACTACACGTCAGCGAATTAAATTCAGTGATGACAGAGTGTGCAAAAGTCATCTTCTCAACTGTTGTCCTCATGATGTCCTTTCAGGAACAGTGCGTATTCTATATTCATAAATATTATAGCCATAAATATTAAATTATAAATTAAGATATATATTTACCTCTGCAGAAGCACTCAAACAAATTTATTTTATTTTTGATTGTGTATTTACATTATAAAATTAAGGTATAAGGATTTGCAGCAATCTGCATTAAAAAAGGAAACTGGGATATGGCACAAATATAACCATGCGTAGTAGAAAAAGCAGCAAAGTAAATCAAAAATAGATTTTTCTGAAATAGTGTAATAGCTACTGCCCAAATCCAGAAAAGGACTCTGCTTTTTAAAAGAGTATGACAAGTGTGACATGAGAATCAACATAGGTCCTGCATAACTTTTTGCTTTGAATCCAGATTGCTTAATAAAATTCAGTATGTTGCATTATTTTTATGCTGAAATTGGAAATAAAAATAAATATGAAGCATTTAACAAAAACATAAAACCTGTATGCATCAACAGTTTTTACTCCTCCAATAATATAAATTCTAAATATTACTATAGAAAATTATATGAACTATTATCCAGAATTCAGTTAAATACAATATATTTGCTTTTTCACCAAATTAGAAACCTCAGCTATTATCTTTCCATTTATTCTGTGTTTTTCATGTACTGTTATTTTCTGTTTGTGCATCTTTTTCAATTATCAGCTTTCTTTGCAAAATATTTTTTTTACATTTATCAAGTACCGTTCCTTCCATTCCGTTCTTCTAAAAAACATAACTTTAAATAAAAAAGCAGATTTAAAGTCTGAACTTCATAATTGAAGACATCCAGAATTATACACTGAGCCTTTTGTACATTTATACTCTGGGTTAATATTAATCATAATAATATTTAATAAATTAATATAATTCATATTTAAGATAAAATTGTTTATCACAATGCGAGCCAATGATTTAAAATTGACCAGACTTTATTAGTGGTAGAATTTATATAGTATTGGAATACTTTGCATGTGTCATAAGTAATTGCATTCATAATTTAAATACTTTATATTAAAAGATAGACTGGAAAACAGTTACCCATGTATTCACTTGTAAGAAACATTGCACAAAGTTTGACTTCAATGGCATCTGATAAAATTGTTCCAAGGAATGTTTTGTTCTTCAAATTGCTATTTGGTTGTCTATGGGCTATTAATTTTTATACTTTTGCAAGTGATACATGGAATATTCTTGTTAAGTTTTATTATAAAAGTCTACCTTAGTATTTTCAATGTAACTGAATTGGGGCATATAGAATAATTTCTATGATTATTCTATGATTTTGCTGGTCTTAGAAGAAGTCTACTGTTATAACACAGAGAACTGAAAAACAGAAATTCAGTTTTAATTTTCTTTAAGAAAAATCCTAAATATCTGAATAAATATTATACATCTCCTCAAAAAGTAGAAAAATAAATAACACATTAAATTTGTTATTTCATGCATTTGGAAACTTGTTAATTAACTGCTAAGGAATCAGTAATGCTATAATGTATTATTTTCCTATTATTTAACCAGTTAGCAAATATACATGCACAGAGATGAAATTTGCCTTTAAATGCAGAATATTTAAAGATTTATAGCAAGCTAGAATAGGTTTGTCACCATAAAACATACTACAACTTAATCTATTTTTTATGGCTAAACCATAACAGCCCTCCAGATTTATATGGGTTCTGAATTGCAGGTCATCATTTAAGAGTCTTTGCCAATATATAACTTTTTTCCAAAGGCTGTCCAGAACATGTCCATTTTTTTATTGCTTGTGGCTCTAATTTTAATGTCTGCTTTTACTAAAACTGAATTTAGCATCTTTAAGGTTCTATTGCTTTTATCACTTTTTGCCAGCCTCAAGTTTTTATTGATTAATTGATTAGATTAGTATCCTACTAAGCTCAGGAAGGCTTTAGGGTGACAATTTGCCTATAGCAATAGCCCACTAAGGTGATCCTGCTGTGAGAATTAGTGACTTGATTGCACACAGTGAATTTCCAAGAGTATAAATGGACTTAGATCTATGTCTTTTCAGTCTAGATCTTCATAACACAACAACACTGGAAATGAACAAAGTGAACATTGAATCTAGATTAAATTGGCAATGCTACAGTTCTGCTGAAGTCAGTGAGATGCTAATTATTGTTAACTTGTTCTCATTGATTTAAAGTGATTAAAAAGTTTAGTTACAACAAAAGATAATTCTGGGGGCATTGAAATGAAGGCCTTTTATTATCCTTACTTTTTATTCATAATGGGAGGGAAATATCTGTACATTTGGCATTTTGTGTTCCCTCTGCCTATTTTGATGTTGTTGCCTTTCACCATCATTTCTCTATAAATCTTTTTTTTTGTTCCTTTCTTTTTAATACTTGAAGAATATTATCCTTGAGCAAATTCACTGGAGAGATATTGAAGGTCTTCAGAGAATGATAGCTGGAATCATATTCATTTAAAACCAAATGCATAGCATTTTATAAATTCGTTTAGTATATATTATTGTGGTGGTAATAAACACTACATTACCACTTCTATTTAAAGTACTGAACCAATATTGCATTTTATGTTAGGATAGAGTTTAATGTTTAGGAAAGATTTGGGACTAGTTGTTTTTTGTTTAGGAAGACATGCATTTTCTTATAATGAAATACATCACACATAGCTATAGAAATAGAAGTTATAAATGCAGAAACATTTTGTATCATGCTGGCATGCAAGGAGAAGAGAAAGCAAAACAAAGTGAAGAAAATGTACTGTGTATTTTATTTAATATATATAACGCAGTGTGGGGAGATATGCCTCTGAGTCAGTGTTGACTCCTTGGCAACTGTCTGGGCAATTCCCTGAAGTTTTCTTGGCACAGTTTCAGAAGTGGTTTGCCATAGCTTGCTTCCTAGGGCTGAGAGAAGTCTGAGGTCTTGAACTCAGTCTGCTAGTTTCTAGCCTGTTGGCACTTATGTATCTGATTTATAAAATTGTATATAAATTTTCTTGTCTGCAGCCTAAAAAATGTCTACATATATATAGAATGTGGCTACTGGCAAGGGGATTTTTAGCCTACTATTCCATGGTGTTGATAACAGTTCTGGCATGTAATGAACTCCAGAATAGATCTAGATACTGCCTTCACAGATTGCCTAAGCTGTGATTTGCTGAATAAGCCGGTATCTAGATCCATTCTGAAGAATTCATTACGTGCTAGAATTGGCTGCAGTTTCACATCTGCCCATATCAAGACACAGATAAATAGTGTCACATTAGGAAAAAAAAAAAAAAGAACAAATAGTGACATAGGAGGAAATGTGGATAGATTTGCAAATAAAACTGTATGGTTTTATTTTTTATTTATTTGGCACCGACTACCTCTGACATAATACTAACATTTAATAAAGATCAAAACACCTCAGAGCATAGGTGTATTATTGGGGGGGGGACGGGACTTTCAAATAGCTCTTATCTCTGCAGTCCTACATAGTGCTCCCTTCTCTTATTTTTCCTCTACAAGTATCAACATTTGACTAAATTGGGTTGAAGGAAAGTGACTTGAGAGGTAATTTGGTATGGAAATTAGGGTATCATAGGTTTTAGTCCTCACTTAGGCATTTACAGCTGTCTAGGTGACTTACAATAAGTCATACACTGAGCCCAAACCATTTCATTGTTGGGGAAGTTTAGAATATTAATATGTACATTGCTTGAGTTGACCAAAAATAAAGGCGAGATTTAAAAAAAAGTTACAAGGCTTAGAAGTTAAGCAGACACTTTAAAAAATAGACAAGAGTGTACCAGGCAACCAGTAGTGCTCTAATAGAAAAGGAACTATCAGGCAACTGGGCATAACCACATGACTGCCTGTTGCCCGGTCAAGAACAACCTTGGCCTGTGTGGAGATTGCCAGGGTAGGAAGATCAGAGGATAATCTAAGAATTTGGAGCTTCCTTATAGAACAGGGGTGTCAAACTCACATCATCATGTGACGTATCAGGACTTTTTCCCCCCTTCAATAAACTGGGAGTGGGTGTGGCCAGTGTATGATGCATCTGGCCCATGGGCCAGGAGTTTGACAACTCTGCTATAGAACATACTTTTTGGGAATGTGCAAACAATCCATCCCACATATACTACGGTGCATACGACGTTCTTCAACATACACAGAGGAAGACATGCTGGTGAGAGAAAATGCTGTTGATGTGGCCCAATACTGGATGAATGTCATCTAGTTTAATTCTATTTATTTTAAGTACTTTTCATATGTGCTATGTCTTTATGACCTAATTTACACTTATTTTAGCTGCTCAGTATTGAATGGTATATGCCCTAATGTGAAGATGCTTCTGACATGAATAAAGAGAAAAGCTCTTAATGTGCATCTTTGCTATTATTATTATTATTATTGTTGTTGTTGTTGTTATTGTTATTATTATTATTGTTGTTGTTGTTATTATTATTATTATTTGAAGTTATATCCACTATCATATTTCCCTCCAGCTCAGGTAAAGTAAATTGGGCTGAGAGAAAGTGAATGACCCAAGTTTGATTGGAACTGGGTCTCTACTTCCTAGTCTAACACCTTAACCCAGGGGTGGGCAAACTACGGCCCGCGGGCCACATCCGGCCCGTTGGTCTGTCCAATCCGGCCCGCCCCTGAAAAAAAATCGCTGGGCATGGCGTATTGCCCTGTGCCGTGTGGCCCCCAAAGCTGCAAAACAGTGCGGAGCGCTCTCGGGGTAGGAAAGAAAAGAACTTTGCAAAGGCCTCAGCTGGGAATTCGAAATCACCTTCGAGTGCGACCTCTCCGAAGGTGAGTCCCCACCGATCCCCCTTTTTTTCCCGGGGCTTCCAGGCTTAAACTTTGCAAAGGCAAAGTTTGCAGGCTGGAGCGTCTTCCCGCCGAGGAGCGGGAAGGGTTCCGCCCGGTGGGCGGGCGGGCTGCTTGGAGCGGGCTGCTTGGAGCCACCTAAAGCTAGGCCGCTGCTGGTGGAGCCTTGCCCTGCCTTGGTGCCCCGTTTCCCGGCTCGGCGGTCCTGCTCGGGCGGCACTTTAAAAGCCTGCTCCCAGCACCCGAGCAACTTCCCAGCAACTTTCGGCTTCCTTTTAACTCGCGGGTGCTCGCACCTGGCCCCGAGCCGCACTCTGGGTTTCCCCTCCGCCGCGCGGCTCGGGGCCAGGCGCGAGCGCCCGCGAGTTAAAAGGAAGCCGAAAGTTGCTGGGAAGTTGCTCGGGTGCTGGGAGCAGGCTTTTAAGAGCTGCGCCCCAAGGAGCAACTGGCGGCCGGAGCGGGGGGAAATGCAGGCGAAAGCCCCACACACACACACACCTCGGCAAGCGGTTTGCAGGGTTAGCCAGCAGTTTCTCGCAAGAGACTGAAGGCCAGTCTGCTCCCTTCAATTAGATGTTGGTTCAAGGGTCAGCCCTGCTGATGTATATGTATCGTATCTTGTGCTGACCCGGTCCGTCTGTCAAATTTTAAAAGTCAATGCGGGCCTTGAGCCAAAAAGTTTGCCCACCCCTGCCTTAACCACTAAATTGACTCTCAGTTAATCTAAACAGTTTTCTCTATCCTTTTACCAGTCTTAATTTCTCATAAAAGAGTTTTCATTGGACGAGTATTTTGTAATATTACTGATAATCATAAATATTGAAGGTAGTATTTCACATAGAATCATTTTATCATAAGATGTTTTAAAAGTGTACATTCTTTAATGCAATTCATATCAAAAGTCTTCATTTTTAAATCTGAATAGGAGTGATCAATCACTTTTTGTACTATATAACTCTATCGTTAGATTGGCTAGTGAAATTAGATAATTTAATGATTTGTAATGTTTTTATTATGGACAGTGCTAAAAATTATCAAGCAGTTTTCTTGTGCAAGAACTTTTTGCAAATGATTACAAGTAAAATAGAGTTTATATCTCTAAATTGTCTGTTTGGACTTGGATTTTTTGCTTTCTTTATCTTTTTTCTTGTCCACACTTTACCTACCCAGTAGTACTTTCTATATTTTTCTACTTACAGTAGAGCTAGAAAAGTAGGCAAAACTTTGGTGGTTTTATTTAGTAAGCCAAGAAAGGAAAGAAACTGACGGGGAATAAGGGGAACCCAATAAACAATTCAGAATAACTATCGTGTTTCTCCAAAAAGACGACCAATCTTGAAAAGAAGTCCTATCACGTTTGTGAGCACATGTGATCAAATTAAGCACCACCCACAAAATTAGCCCTAATTAAGACCCTGCCCATTGTGGTGCAGGGGGTGTGGGACAAGGCACACAGGTGAAAAATAAGCTAGGATGGGGATGGGGTGTAGGTACTCTACTTACCAGGCCTTGCATACCCCGAGACCTGCCTCATCACCTTCTTTGACCACTCACACGCATCGCCCTGGCTCTGTTTCGCCTTCAGGTGCCTGCCAGAAGGCATCAGCAGCTGATAACAGAGCTCTGGATCTATCCCAGATGATAAAAACAGACATAAAAACAAACAATTCTTTCCATCAGGGTCCAGACCAAACAGCCTCCTGGCTCAAGCTCCATCCTAGCCCAATGATTTATTTCTTTATGTATTAATGTTTTTGTTTTATAATTTATAATTTTACAGATAGTCCTCGACTTACAACCACCATTGAGCCCAAAATTTCCATTGCTAAGTGAGGCTGTTGTTAAGTGAGTTTTACCCCACTTTATTATCTTTTTTGTTACAGTTGTTAAGTGAATCACTGCAGTTGTTATATGAATTATGGTCAATAAGCGAATCTGGCTTTGCTTGTTGGAAACCGGTTGGGAAGGTTACAAATGACTATGACCCTGGGACAGTGCAACTGTCAAAAATATATGCTGGTTGCCAAGTACCCAAATTTTGATCATATAACCGTGGGGATGCTATAAATAGCAATTAAATATGAAAATTGGTCATATGTCACTTTTTTCAGTGCCATTGTAACTGAGCGGTAACCAAACAAATGGTTGTAAGTCAAGGACTACATGTATAAGCCATAGCTGCTTTAAACAAAGTACTGCACCCCATTCTAATTCAGGACATCTGTCAGAGAATAGGATTTTCTATCACTCTTTTCCACCCATCCAGCAAGGAGACTCTACCAGTCTTTGAGCAGATATAGATAATATTTCAGAGAGGGCAAATAAAGACTCTAGCATCATTTGTTGTTATGAAAGGACATATATTTAAACCATGTTTTTAATGGGACTTAAAAGTAATACAATAGTGAACCAGTTTTCCTGGTTTAGTTAAAACACCAGGCTCATGAGTTCTAGTTCACAGACCCAGTGACTCTGTTTCAGCCTTAGAAAGAAGACAATAACAATCCACATGTGAAATTGAAAAAAGTAATACAATGGGTGTTATTTATGTTTCCACACTATATAAAAAAATTAAATAACTTGGTTTGTAACTTGCTTTGTTAAGCACACTAGCTTGTAAGGAAAAGTATGCAAGAACTGAAAGGAAAGCTCTTTCTTCCAAAGAAGAAGAATTTCTGCTATGATTGCTGTATTTTTTCTTTAAGTGTATTGATCTACTGTTCCAGTATGGTGTCACTGAGACTTGGAGACTTTTAATGATGTGACTGATCGCTTTTTTGTGTAGTAATTTAATATATATTAAACAATAGGTACATATTTGAATATTGAAATAATATCATTTGTATCCATTTAGTATTTCTTATAAAAATGTCCTTTTGTGTTGTCTTGTATTTCAGAGGATGGATCTAGGAGAGTGTCTGAAGGTGCATGATTTGGCGTTAAGAGCAGATTATGAAATTGCATCAAAAGAGCAAGACTTTTTCTTTGAACTTGATGTATGTTCTATCACCAAATTATCTTTATATTATAAAGAATGGAAAGAGAATTGGTAGTGATAACATCTGGTCAAATTGTATATTATTGTAAAATATTTAATATAGAACTAATTTAGAATGTCTGACAATTAGTAAAGTGTGCAATTATTTGAACCTGAAGTGAGAAAGGTGTTTCATTTTTAATTAAAATGTAAAGAACTTCAGACTTGCACATGATCTTAGTACCTTGAAGAAGGCATGCATTTTCCTAGTGTCACATAGTAATTACAATGTCCCATTTATCTTCCAACAAAGGAAAAAAGTGGAGCACACACTAAGGCCAATATATTGCATAATAAAAATCACAAATCTTTTCTACAATAAAAAGCCACCCAGAATCCCTTTATCAGGGAGATAGGCATCAAATAATTTTAATAAAGATTTTACAGACAAACAGACACACACAGAGACACAGATACACACAAACACAAACAAACACAAAGAGGAGTTGGAAACCATCATCAAATTATAGCTAATTTCTTGGGATATTTGAATAACTTCATTCTCGGAGATGTGAAATCTTCATTCCCATTTTAGTTTTATTTCTGTTAACTTGCCAGTTCTAAATCAGTGATATATGCAACTCAATCCTCAAAAAGATTGTTCTCATCTGTTTGATTGAATATCTGTGAATACAAGTGTCGATGTGATTATTTCCTTGAAAGTAAGAATTCATGTAATGATGATTTCAATTTTATTTGTTTTACATTCTTCCAGAAAAGTATTAAGTATAATTAAACCAGCAATTTATACATTTAATATTTAGTTCTACTGTCAACTTTTGCATTCTGGAAAGGTGCTTATTTCTAATCAGTATGATACTTTTTTGATTTATATGTTAGGCAATGGATCACCTGCAATCATTCATTGCTGACTGTGATAGGAGAACTGAAGTGGCAAAGAAAAGACTGGCTGAAACTCAAGAAGAGATCAGTGCTGAAGTGGCAGCCAAAGTAAGTACTTAATATTCACTCACTATAGGGCTTTCCCTAGGGACTTCCAACTTGATTTTATATATAGCGTTTATATAAAAGAATTTTGGAAGTCCCATTTTGTATAAAATTAGTGGGTAACAAAAGACAAAATGCACAAAACTACGCAGATTTTTTTAGGTGAGCAAAGATTTGGTTTTGATTTTTAGTTTTGTTTAAGAATGTGTACAACACATAACTATAGATGCCTACATGTACATATTTGTGCATTACAAGGGTCTTTAATTGAATTAAAAATGGGATATATTGGGGAGAAGCAGTGATTGCAAAATGCCAAGTAATTCTTTTTTCTTGGCTGTGAGAAGAGGCAATTAAATGTAGCTTCTTTTTGCCTGTCTGTAAGGATAAACACTGTAGTGCCTTGAAACTACAACTCTCAATTGGCTATTGGCATGGTTGGCTGGGGCTTTTAAAGTTTGAACTTTTGAAGGACACTAATTATCTATCTCCACCTTAATGGTATGAAGACACTTGTCTGTAAAAATAATCTGAGCGGAAATGAAACACTTCCCATGTTACAGTCATTTATTGAACATTAATTCATTTTCAGTGTTGAAAATTTTGAAATATTGCTCCTTTTTCACATTCAAGTACTATAAGCCGGGGTCGCCAGCTTCTTGGACCTCAGGGACCACCAAACTCATAATTTTAAATCCCAGGGACCACTAACTAGTTCTGTGGGTGTGGCCTAATTTGTGGGTGTGGCTTGGTCATGTGACTGGCTGGGCATGTAAATATTATAAATATTTATATAAATATTGATTTTTTTATTAAAAAAGAGAAACTTTTACCCCAAAGCAGGCGGGAAGATTGAGTTGCTCACAGAATCATTCAGTGATCTATTTGCCATCAGCAAGCTCAGTCTCTCAAATTTGCTTGCCATGAGTCTGCACTGAATAATAGATCCTTCAGTCCTAAGGGAGGTTCAGCTGTGCTTAAAAGCAGAGCCAAAGATCTAAAGACTCGCTAGAAAGCAAGAAATTCAACCATTTCCTGCTTTCTAGGTAATCTAAATCTCCTGGCACAGCACAACAGCTGATGGTGGGAAAAAGGAAAAATAGCAATATAGCAGGCAAGTTTGCCGGGTAAGGAGTGAGTGAGTGAGGAGGGTTTCTGCGGGCCATGTGGGCGGCGCAGCCTTGTGTTTCTGTGCAGCCTGGTTTACTTGCTTTGGGGGGGGGGGGGTGCTCTGGAAGTGAGATTTCTCTGCGGCCCACTAGTGGGCCGTGGCCCACTGGTTGGCAACAACTGCTATAAGCAACCTAAATAAACATTTCTATTTATTATTGTTCAAAATCTGCATAGAGCATTCATAGCATAATAGACAGTGTACCCTGGAAAAGGAAATGGCTAGCTGAACAGAAGCACTTCATAGTGCAGTGTCTTATTGCTTTATATTGATATAGCTTGTACATAGTGAACATTAATAATATTAGCAAGTGTTAATATTGCTTTTCTCTCTGAAAGGCTGAACGAGTCCATGAATTAAATGAGGAAATTGGAAAACTGCTTGCTAAAGTTGAACAACTTGGAGCTGATGGAAATGTGGAAGAGTCTCAGAAAGTAATGGATGAAGTAGAGAAAGCAAGGGCAAAGAAAAGAGAAGCAGAGGTAATCTGATTATGTACAAAAGTTTATTCTTTCAGTTAGTCCTAGAGGACAAATTCTTATTCATGGAGTTGATAACTAAAAAAATATTTAAACTATATTCATTGTTCTCGAAATTTCCGTAAATACACATGCACCCTCCGACCAATTGTTTAACTTTATTTTATTCTCCACTGAGCCGAAGGGAGAATCCAGCATGGGTAGTCTCTAGTCTCCTAGCTCTGCAGACCGAGTTGAAAAACTGAGGACGCACCCCCTGGTAATGGTCCCCAGTTCTTCACTCGGTCTCAGTGTGTTCAGACCACCCTTTAAGGGCTCTGAATAGTTAGGATTGTAGAAGAATTTTCACCCCCTGGATTAAGCTTTTTTTCGCAGAGAGGCTTAGATCAGGCTTGCCGGTTTAGCACTTTCATTTTTTCGCGCCTTTTTTTCTGGTGTGCGTTTTTTTGCTTATTATTTAATTTTTAAACTTTCCTTGCTGGTGGACTGGTTTTTTTTCCCTTTCTGGTTGGAATTTGGGTGGAGGTGACCCTGAGAGCCCGTGTGGCCCGGGCTGGGGGCGGGAGGAGGCATCTTATTTAACTTGCCTTCTCCTGATCCACTTTTCCTTGACTTGGGCTAGCCGCATCTGCTGCTACATGCCCCCCTTTTTTTGGCGGTGGCAGCAGTGGCCATTTCTTACGTTTGGGGACAATCTTGCAGTTCGTCTCCAGGATAGTCCCTTGGGGGGACAATCATAAAAGGATGGAACATACTCTGTGGTTTCATTTGCCACAAAATATTGTTTCAGTTGGGAAATAATTTTTTAAAAGCGAGAGTGAAAAAAATAGCGCAGATGAATAGCCTGCTGTAATCCCTTCAATTTACAGTATATTTAAGGGAACATGGCTGTTACTCTTCTGAACAAGAATTTCAGAAGAATTTTGCTTTTTTACAGATAGCAGTTATTACTCTTATAATACTTTGTTTTATTTTACTTGGGAAAACTTTGTTCATAACGTAAGAGACATATAATAATGCATCTTCTAGGAAGTGTACCGGAATTCCATGCCTGCTTCCAGTTTCCAGCAGCAAAAGCTACGGGTCTGTGAAGTATGCTCAGCCTATCTTGGCCTACATGACAATGACAGGCGGCTTGCTGATCATTTTGGAGGAAAGCTGCACTTGGGTTTTATTGAAATAAGAGAAAAGCTTGAAGAACTAAGGGTAAGTATATATTACTCTTTTCCAACTGTTGTAAACTGTTCATTATTAGACTACTTCAGTAATGTCCTGTTGATACCACACTTGAAATTAATATGATGCAACTGAAAAAGAGGAGCGTCCTCAAAAAAAATAGTATAAATAGCCCTTTACTGCCTTTCAAACAAGTAATTAACTTAAATTTATGTTTAAGTGACTAAGCCAGAGGTGTAGAAGTGTAGTTCCAAAATGTCTATGGAGATTCTCAGTCATCCTGGTCATGGTTGTCCAAAAATGCTTTTTCAAGGGGCATCTGGACTTTCTGGTGGGATTGTTTTTTGTTGTTGTTGTTTCTTTTTTGGGGGGGCGGGGAGACCTTTCACTTCTCATCCTGGAAGCTTCTTCAGCTCTCTGAATGGAGAGGAATGGAAGGATTTATATTCCTTGCAGACAGCTGGTCAGATCACTTGAGATAGCTACACGTTCTGAGTCACAAAGGTGCTTTTTCAGGAGGCAACTGGACTTTCTTGTTTTTTTCATTTGAAGATGTTTTACTTCTCATCAAAGAAGCTTCTTCAGCTCTGGCAGGATAGCGGGGAACCGAAAGATTTATATTCCTTGCAGACAGCTGGTAATTTGCATCCTTTTAGCAGGTCGTTGAGATTTATCTGTGTCCTCAGAGTCACCTATGTAGTGCTAATGGTTCCTGTGGTCTGCAATTTTTTCCTTTGGAAATCCATTCCTACTCCCACACCATTCAAAGGGTATTCATCCCAAATTGTATAGCTAAAAGTCTGTAGAGGTTCTCAGTGATCCAGGTCATGGTTGTCCCAAAGGTGCTTTTTCAGGAGGCAGCTGGACTTTGTTTTTTCTTTAAGTCCAGTTGCCTTCTGAAAAAGCACACACGCGCACGCACACACACCCACAGGTTCCCCCCCATCCTCCCCCCAAGGCAGCCATATCCCTTCACTAACCTGCTTTCCAGCTCTGTCCTCCACCGTCACGTGCCAGGCAAGAAAAGTAATCTGTGGGACTACAGTTAATAAAACCTTCCAACTTCACAAGATATTTTTTTTTCATGAGAAGTTGGAAGGTCTGAACTATCGGTATTTTTTTTTTACCATAGTCCAACAGACTATTTTTCTTGTTCTGAATGCGCAGCAGAGAGTGGAGCTGGGGGTGGTGAGGGTTTGGCATGGGTGGCCTGTCTGAAGGACCTTCAGGTAAGCCAGAGCAGGGCCACCAACCCCCCCCCCCCCCCCGGCTGCCTTGCTTCGTCCTCTACACCTCCCCACCCCCACTGCCTTGCTTCATTCTTTGCAACGTGCAGCAACTTGCATGTTGCTTCTGGGCAGGAGAGGCTTGGTTGGTCCCCTTACCCAGTTCCCCACCATCGTTTCTCTTTTTCTCTCTCTCTGTCTCACACAGACACACACACACACACACACACACTTGATCGCTTGAACTCCTGCACACTTTTCGCCCAGAGGGTGAATATCTAGTCCATCTATTGTCTCTGAGCTCCCCAGCGTCTATAATGTGAAACACAATTCTGGATTAAGATGACCCTAGCTTGAACTAGCAAAACTATTACCACAGTATTTTTCTTACCATAAGACACACTTTATTACCCCCCAAAAGTGGGTGGAAATGTCTGTGCGTCTTATAGAGCAAATATTGCTGAAGCCCCACCCACCTGGCGGACCCCACCCTTTGACTGTTTCGGCCTCCACAAGTCCTGTTTTAGGCCCGTTCCAGGTGGTGGCGGGATCCCCGCCACCTGGAAAAGGTCAAAAATGGGATGTGCAGAAGCCAAAAATGGGGCACGCGGAGGACAAAAACAGGACGCGCAGAGGTGGCAATGAGTGGCGGCAATCCCTGCCGCCTGGAACAACTGATTGGCAATATACCTGGATGCCATTTCAACCTCCAATCAGGCTGCAAGAACCTGCTGAAGCTGACCAGGCTGTTTGCTGCAAGGACGCTAGCCAGATGAATGGATGCAGAGACAGGTTTTATGGATGCTGGGATGCAGAGACAGATTTTTTTTTCTTGTTTTCCTCCTCTAAAGCTAATGCGCATCTTATGGTCCAGAGTGTCTTATGGAGCAAAAAATACGGTATATGTTTATGAAAGAATTATAGCCTGACTTTGACATTATAGCAATTTTATTTATAGTCATTTATTTTCCTGCTGCTTTTGGCTACTCTCTGTGATTAGATTTTAATTTTTGGTAACTGGGGGGAAAATTAATTTGCTCTTTTCGTTATGTGAATATAAGGGCAGTTAAACTTTACAAAAGAGATGGTAAAGTAATTGGCAATAATATTGGGACAGTATACATGTTCCCTACATTTTCCTATATGATATATGTAACATGCAGTGCTATCAGATTAGAATAATGTTGCCAATTGGTGAGAAAAAGAAACTTTGTCTTATAAATATATTCTTAATGGTTTATATCAAGAGTTCTCCAACCTTTCCAGCTTTGTGGACTGGCTGGGCGTAGAACCTGGGGAGAGGGAATGGTTCCGTGTGAGTGGCAGGCAAGTGAACGCAGTTCTATTTGCACAAGCAGCAAGCAAGCACACATGCGCACTTGCCTGCCATTTGCACAAGTGGAGAAGTGCACATGCCACTTCTGCGACTCAGTTCCGAAGGGCCCAAGGCCCAGTTTATATAATAATTCAATATTTGAAACTCTTCGTCTTTATTTTAAAAATGATTTCAGAGAATTGTGGCTGACAAACAGGAGAAACGAAATCAGGAACGTTTAAAGCGGAGAGAAGAAAGGGAGAAAGAAGAAAGAGAGAAGTTAAGAAGGTAGAACTCTATTACTTTTTATTGTCATCCTATCAGTCTGTTCTTTGACTTCGTTTTTATATTTAATAGTCCTGCATAAGTATATATTGATGCCACAGCTTCAAGTTGCTGCTAAAAATAAAACTGAAATTAAATATTAGATTGATATTCCCCATGTATTTCACCTTTAGCATGCAAATCATTTTGCTTTGATGAAGCAAAATATGCACATAGACTTTTGAATGTTTTCATTATGTGTGATTTCTAGATTTATTTTTATTGCTTGAGTATTCAGAATGAAAGATAGAAAACAAAAAGGGAAAGAAAAAAGAGCAAGAACATATTATAATATATATGGGAAGCAACTCAGCTATTATAAACAGCATAACATTGTTCAGTCTTTCATAACATCATTACCCACCCATTTATAAGTGAAGAATGAACAAATTACAAGTAGTCCAAGATATGCATCTGGGGTATTGCTATTTTTCTAAAATAAAATATTTTTTGCTGTATTCCATGCTTGACTGATATAAAATACAGAATCACATTCATATTGTTTAGATTTATATTTTGGCTTTTGAGGGTTAGGACAATATCCATAAACTGTTTTCCCCAAACATTCCTGTGGAACAAGTTAGGTTAGAAAAGAGTGACAGTGAGCATAGGTTTGAACCTAGTACAATTGATGCAAATTCTACATCTTAATTAGTACTCTACATTGGCTGTTTTACTCCTCTTAAAAGTATGTTAACAAATCTATGGACATTAAACCAAAACAGGACAGCAATAGGACCCCTCGATCATTTTACATTTTTTAATTCTGAGGTTAACAAGCGTTTTTTAATGTCCTCTGGAGCAGGGGTCTCCAACCTTTTGGATCTCAGGGACCACCAAACTCATAATTTTAAGTCCTGGGAACCACTAATAAGAATTTTGACTGACAGTGGCTTGCTGACGTGAGAGAGAGGGAGGAAAGAGGGAGGAGAAAGAGAGAGATCCGATCTAATCTCTCTCACACACACAAAAACACAGAGACGGGTGGGATTCAAATTTCTTAACAACTGGTTCTTGGGTGTGGCCTACTTGGTGATCATGTGACTGGCTGGGCATGGCTTGTATGTAAATATTATAAATATTTATGTAAATATTTAATTTTTTATTTAAAAAAAGAACAACTTTTAACCCAAAATCAGGCAAAGCAGACAGGCAGATTGAGTTGCTCACAGAATCACAGATTCAGAGATCTATCTTTCTGCCATCAGCTACCTGAGTCTGTCACATAAAATTTGCTTGCAAGCAACTCACAAAATTAACTCACAATATACCATTGTATGTAAATATTGAATTTTTATAAAAAGAAGAGCAACTTTTACCCAAAATCAGGCAAAGCAGGCAGGCAGATTGAGTTGCTCACAGAATCACAGATTCACTCAGAGATTTGTGTTTCTGCCATTGGCTATTGAATAATAGAATCTTCAGTCCTAAGGGAAGTTCGGCTCTGCTTTTAAGCAGAGATCTAAAGATTAGCTAAAAGCAAGAAATCCAACGATTTCTTTCTAGCTAATCTAAATCTCCTGGCATAGCAGAACAGTTGATGTTGGGGGTGGGGGTGGGAGGAAAAATAGCAACTTAGCAGGCAAGTTTGCCAGGTAAGGAGTGAGTGGGCGGGGAGGGTTCCCACGGGCCATGTGGTCGGTGCAGCCTTGTGTTCCTGTGCAGCCTGGATTAATTGCTTTGGGTGCTCTGGGGGTGACATTTCTCTGCGGACCACAAAATTTTTCTCACGGACCACCAGTGGGCTGCAGATCATCAGTTGGCGACCACTGCTCTGGAGTAGCCAATAAAATGAAAAAGGGTTTCTTGAATTAATCTCCTTTTAAAATCCTGAGGCATACTAATATTCTTTAAAGCCATTAAGCATTAATTTGTTAATATAGGATATTCTGACTACAGATTTTTTGAAAAATGTTAACCTCCACACTAGTGATATTCTTTGTAATTGTCTATAGATTTAAAACAGTCCATTCTAGATTAGTCAATAATTTAGAATCATCCAAAATACATGTATATGCTGATAGTAGAATTTCTGATCATACTAATGTGTCTACACCAAATTGTGAAAGGAAATGATTTCATTGAATATTTGGTTTTTGAAGTTATGAACAGTTTATTTTTCTTGCATTAACCTAAATGAAGTAAATAATTATTAATGTTAATACCCATTAGTTAATGATCCGCTCCTTTAGAAAAAATTACTTGTAGTTTTCAAACTGGAATTATCCCTGTGCATATATTTATCGTGAAGAAGAATGAACATATGGACTTCCTGTTTGGGCTTCTTCGGCGATGGACCGAAATCGTGATCGTGTGCAGTTTTGATCCGTGCTCACCGCTGGAGCACCCCGAGCCGCCCAGATTCGGAGCTGAAGCCACCCCATGGAGGTGGTGAAGAAGGGGGAGCTGTCAGCGGGGTTGAGGAGAGCCGCATCCTCCTCGGCTGGCCATTACTCCCTTTCCCAAAGGCGGTTGCAGCAGTGGTCAGAAATGGCCACCTCAAAGAAGAAACCCGACTGGACAAGATTGTGCAGGAAGTTTAAAGGAGAAAGTTTGACTGACCGGGTTGAATGGAGAACATCTATTTAAGGTACCTGGAACCCTGAATTTTAAAGACTAATACTATTCCTAAAAAAGATTTTAAGTTGCGAAAGAGAAAGGGAAAGAAAATGGAATTGGCTTTTTTTCCTCTAACATCGACAGTTTTAACTGACTTGGAACATTAAGACGAAGAGATTCAAATAAGAAATTGATACTAATCCACTTTGACATTAATAGGCTATTTCTAGCTGAAAACAAAGTGTCAAAGGGATAAAGATTCTTGGATAATTTAAAAGCTTTCTTTAAAAGAAGAAAGAAAGCAGTGAAAGGAAAAAGGTGGAATCTGGAAAATGGAGAAGACCACCTGGAACTTTAAAAAAAAAAGGATAGTGGAATTTTAACAAGGCTTGCAAAAGATACATTGTAGCTGAAACTTTGTTATAAGATAACAAAGCCCCTGGAAAGAGAAAGTCAGAAAAGAAGCAAGAAACAGTTTTGGATTATTGGATGATTCCTGGAACTTTGGATGGAGGATCCTAATGAAATAAAATAAAATCAATTGGGGCTTGTTTAAAATTTTTTAAAATGGCATCACTCAGAGTTAAAAATGAGACTTAAAGAACAAAAAGAAGAAGCTCAAGACAGAAGAGGATCTTTTGGCTTCATATTTCAATTTTTAGAAATGGAGATCTTGAACTATGAAAAACAACAAGAAACGCTGGCAGAACAAGAAGGGCGGGACAACGACCAAAAAAAAGAGTAATTTGAAAAGTAATCATAATATCAGGAAGAAACAGAAGGGAGAATCAGATAGAAAAGGGAATAAAAAGGGGAGGGAGAAGAAGAAAGGGATGAGGGAAAGGAAAAGAAGCTACAAAAGACAGAAACAAGATATAGAGGTACAGGAAAAACGTACAAGAATTAAAGGTATAAACCTATTTAAAAGACAGAGACAATGGTTAAAATTTAACGAGAGGATTCTGCAAGGGTGCATGGGATAGCATTGTTATATTAGAAAGGGTTAGAAAATATGTTAGATGATTAAAGTGATAGAAAAAATTTCCATTGATGTGTAGTGGAATATTTGTAAAGAGAATAAGGCTCTCAGTGATTTAAAAAGAACACTAAAAAAAACTGGAAAAGAAACATGGAAGATTTTTATCAGTTGAAAAGATGAACTTGAATAAGAATAATAAGTTTATTGACTACTGTTAAAAACTATTGTTTGGTTTTTTATTTAAAGACAGTAATGAGTAAAATATGAAATATAGATGATTAAAGTGAAAGACAACTGATATTACTAGTAATGTTTGTTAGAAGAAGTAGAAATGTAAAAGATTGGTATTAATATTAGTGGCAGAGCTGTACTTGAATAGAATAATTATTCCATTCACTATTGTTATACATATATACACAGATATATATACCCGAACAAAGCTGAATGCCATAGATATATATACATATATACTTTTTTCTTTTAAGAATTTAGTGTGTATTTTAAGGGAATGTACCAAGCAGAATTCAATTGAAAATAGGTATGTGTTATAAAATAGAGGTTAGAAAATGAATGTTATAACTGTAAAGGTGTAACTTAAATTTTTAAATAAAATTTGAAAAAAGATACAAAGGTGTTGTACGCCAGTCCAGTAATTACAGGGGAAAATTTGTTTTATGAGAAAAGATAATATGAAATTGTAAACCCGACAGACGAAAGTATAAAAACATTGATTAGAAAGATTTTAAAAATTAGAAAAAGATAGTAATTGAATTAAGAAAGGAATGAGATAATTTAAAATAAGGCTATAGGAAGAAAGGGAAAAGCTATTGAAAAAATTGCGAAAATAGTTATAAGATATGGATTAGAATGTATAAGATAAATATGTATTGAGTTTATGTCTGTATGGAGAAGTGATAACCCAGGGCCATGCTGTTCTCAAAAAAGATATTTTATTTGTATTTGTATGTTTTGTGAAAACTTAAATAAAACTTTTATTTTAAAAAAATGAACACGTCCTATCAATTTCCAAATATTGCTTACAAGAAATACAATAGAATTATAGATAAACATGGATCGTGCCTTTGCCATATCTAAGGAACAAATAATAACATGTCCACATAACGGCTTTTCAACTTGGTCACTTAAACTCCATTTAAAAATGCTAAATACCAATCAATAAATTTGAAAATCTGATTGATATGATAGTTATAATTAGGTAAAAAAAATCTAGGGGTCTGTTTTCCCATGGAAAATTTCTTATTTGTCTGAGTTATCTTTAAAATATTAACATTAAAATAAAGATACTCTTCAAGTTACAACTGTAATGGAGCCTGCCTATTATGGTTGAAAGTCAGGAAAGCCTCATTAATGATCCCCCCCCCCACCTCCAACCCTGCTCTGCCCAATTCATTTGTTAAAGGAACATGCAGGTTGTAAAGTGGAGCAGGGGATGTCTCAGGACCCTGAGAATCCTAGTGCAGGCACAAGCCCACCTACATCACACCTCCCAAGGGTCACCATAACCCTATGGACTTCCTCCCTACCCCACTCCATTACAATTGGACATTTATGTTTCAATGATCCTCAGAGCTCAGGAAGACAGCATAGGGTAGGCCGCTTTATTGCTCAGCCATGTTGCATAATCAAAGAGAAGAAATCCTGCAAGTTTTATCTCCCAAGCGTTAGCTACATTAATTTTATGCTAATGCTGGGGAAACTAAGACAAGTGATGAGAGAAAAACCAGCAGGTTTTCTCCTTGCTAGCACTAGCCTTAAGTCTCCCAGTCTCCCAGCCTTAGGTCTCCCAGCCTCGCTAATCCTGGGGGAGCCAAGACTAGTGAGGAAAAGAAAAGTGAGGGCACATGTGGCCCAGCAATAGAGAAGCCTGACCTCTTTTTCTACCCTGACTTCCTGAGCTGTATATCTTTGAAAGGTAAGTGAGAAAACATGACCAGGGGTGGGGAGGAGTGTATGGAACCCAGTGGGGTGGCAAAGCAGGCTCAGTGGGGTGGGGTGCTGTAGCATCTCTGCAGTCAGTTATAAGGGCAAATGATTGTAGGGGTGCTGCCGCAGGCATAACTTTGCGACTGGGACAGTACCTGTTTGGGTGTCTGTTGTAACTTTGAACGGTCACTATGTTGAGGACTACCTGTTTGTTGTTATTAATTGCTTTGTGAGGGAGATGGACGATTTTTAAATTTGATAAAGATATAAATAACTGTTAAATACATAATGTCAATTATGAAATAATGTTCATATTTATATTTATCTTTTACAATATGTTCATTAAGATTTATATCATTAATCATAACCATATTAATGTGAAATAAACCATTTGATATATTATTACATTTACAAGATTCCCTAGAATAATTATTTTGAATATTTAAAGTCATTTGAAAAGTAAAGCTCCAATTCGTTACAAATGTCTACGGTTATGTTCTGTGAGACATCTTAATAGTGCAGGTGATAATTCAATTTGTAATTTATATAAAATCATCTTTATTTTTTCTTTATTCTTAGATCTCGTTCTCATAGCAAGAACCCCAAAAGGTAGGATGTTCTTTTTTTCCTCTGTGAATATAAAGTTATAGCTATCAAACATTAAGAAAGGTTTTTCTTAAAGCAAACCATTGTGATTTTTTTTCTACTATGATAATTATATGACGTACAGTAAATACTTGAGACAATTATATAAGTCAGATGAGATTTTAAATAAATCTAATAAAACTTACAAAATAGGCAGATTCAGATTTTCTAAAATTTACATTGCCTGTGAATATAAATGCCTACCTAAAAATAAAAAGCCACTAGAGGGAGTGCCAGTTCATCTTCCTGAGGTACAACTGCCTTATTGGTCCAGCCACTAAGAAAGCCATTTTTTGTCTCCTGAAAGATAGAGATTGACACTTTGTCAGATTTCAGGGAGCCCATAAGCAGATTTGGAAAGGGTTTTCTAAAATGTCTGTGATCTAGTCATTAAAAGTGTTACACAGCATTATGAATTGGACTTAGAAGCAAACTAGTAACCGGTGCAGTACCATTAGCTGTAATGTATTAGTGAATTATAGTCCAGCAAGAGAGTACTCAGCAGTATTCTTACCACTGCATAGTTTTTGAAGACTCCAAAAACAGCAAGCATCAAGTTGAGCAATTCTGACTGGATGTAACTCAGGCAATTTTTATTGGAGCCAGGTCTCAATCCAAGACCCCCATCCCTCAAGTATTAGTCTTCTAAAAGAGTTTAAAAATCCATCTCTGAAATCTATTTCTGAGGCCATGTGTTTTCTTAAAAGTAGTATCTCTGGGTTTATTGAAGGTATGAAAATAACCATAATAAAAATAGAATATGCTTACTTTTATGATATTACACAAGATTACCTTTTCCAAAGCTCCAAAAGCAAATACTTTAGTTAAATGTAGGTACAATAACAGTTAACAATCTTGAGTTTTAAAGGTTTTTATAAGGTGATAACTAACATTTCTTCCAAATGTTACTTGAAGTTAAAACAGAAGATATAGTCTTCTTACCAATCGAAGAAAATATTTGTAGATCAGAGTTGAACTGGGGATCCTTGGTGCTCTCTGAGATTGGTAATTTTCTTGCAGACCTTTTATTACCAAATTAGGTAACATCATCAGCATTCATTGTGTTAATTAGCTCATTGTGGTAATGAAATGATTGCAAGAAAACTACCAAGCTCAGAGAGCACCAAGGATCTCACAAAAACTACTTAGACTCACATTTGACTCCTGCTATACTCACGTAAGTTTCAAGTATTATTATTGTTTTAGTAATAGAATATAATTGGTTTGGTATTGCTGCCTTTGGGGATTTTTTTTAAATATACAGGTTTTGCTTATAGCCTTGGAATTTCCTAATGGTCTTTCTTCCAAGTGCTGCCTATGGCTACTCTTAGTTTGTACAAGATCACTCAAAATTAGTTACCTGATGTCGCCTGCTATTTAATTGAACTGATTACTGTTTTTAAACCATTGAAAATGTGTTTAGATTGTATCTAGATCTAAAGTGTTCTATTTCAATTTCTTTGTGACTTATTTTAAGTTAGAAATTCCTCAGTGATGTGTCTGCTTAATACTAGGGTATGCCTGCCACAGCCTTGCCAGTAGCATCTAACAAGAGTGTTGTTTTTAATCAACCACCATTAATTAAACTTCAAGACTTTTGAACTTCAATATTAGATACCTCCTTATTTCATATAAAACATTCCAGCGGTCTCCAAACTTTTCAAAATCTTGGCAAAAGATTGTTCCAGTAAGATATTTTCCTTTTATGACTGGACTAATATAATTGTTAGGGATTAATTGAATGATTAAGGATTTCTTCTCATCTACTATAAAAAAAATTTCAGATCTAGATCCCGAGATCGCCGTAGACATCGATCTCGGTCATCCTCCCGCGAACGAAAGAAAAGAACCCGTTCCAGGTCCCGTGAAAAGCGACATCGTCATAGGTCTCGTTCTAATAGTCGCAGCCGGAGTCGCAGTCACCATAGGAGCAGTCACAGCTCCAGAGACAGAAGCAGAGAACCCAATTCCAAAAAAAGGTAATATTTTAATATGCAGTTGGCATTTTGTTAGCTTTTGAACAGAAAAGATTGCACCTAGGCCACCAACCGATCTTCAACAGTAGCTAAGGTTTTTTTCCATTTTGTTTATTACAAGTACATTGGAACAGTGTACTTCAAAAGCTTTTAATTATAATCAACTCAGGTGCAAACTTAGGGTAGCTAAAATCAAACAAGGAAATATCAACATGCTTGGAAGATTCACAAGGTTTGCAGAAGTGGGAAGAAATCTTAGGAGACAAAAAGAAGTTTCCAAAAAGAAGTTTTATGTTTTCATGTTTTGTGTTTTGTTTGTGTATGTTTGTTTATTGAAAATTAATAAAAAAAATATTTAAAAAAAAGAAGGTAGTCTAAATTTCAATTTCCTAGCATGATTTGGTTTGTAACATTTTTAAATTTAATTTAGCAAATATTTTTAGTTTTATATTTCACTTTGGGATTTTTGTTCAGGCTTTAATAATTTCAACTCATTTAAATGTACTATGTCCATTTATATTCAGTATGTGTTTAGTCTTCATTTACCTAATTAAAGTAGGTAATAAAGTTAAATACCTGAAGTTATAGTAACTTTACAATCTAAGGTCTTCAAACCTACAGAAATAAATTGCAGTATTAGCAGAAATTGATAGAATTAAATTTGGCTATGTGATTGCGGTTGAATTCTGTTTACAAAAAACCAGTCTCAAGTGAATTCATCAAGTTTTAGGTATTTTTTCAGCATTCGGTCTTCCTTGAAATTACATTTCAAAACCCATTTTTTCTTTTGACCTTTTATTCAGTTAGTCAAAACTTCAGGTCTGATCTCCAAGTTTTACCTTTTATAAGCATATTATTTAAATGTAAGTTGAGTCTGGCACCGTGGATCTGCATTATTTCTAGTAGCTGAAACTAATTTTAATTACTATTAAAAAATATACTGGCTAGCACTCATTTGATTTTCTCAACTTTTACACTCTTGAAAAATAAAATTAGTGATTTCAGTTTAAAATTGGTTCTAATTATGTCAGGCTCTGTGTTCTTTCCATTTCAGTTTTGTAAATGATACACAGTGATAATTGTGCTCTGGTAGGCTTAATGAACAGTTAAAATCAAATGAAAGGAATGTACATTTTCAGATGCATTATTTTTTTCTTCAGATCATCAAAAGAAAGAGCTTCCAGAGATCAAGAACGAACCAGAGATCATAACAGAACATCACGTGACAAAGAAAGTTGCCCCAGAGAAAAATCTCCAAGAGATCGAAACTGCAAAGAAAGGAAGCGATCTTATGAAAGTGCAAATGGTCGATCAGAAGACAGGAGAAGCTCAGAGGAACGTGAAGCAGGAGAGATATAACTGGCTGTACATTCACTTGATCCTTTACCTTCCTATGAAGTTGCATACTGTGGTTTAGTTTACAGTTATTAAAAGGGACACCAGTGAGCAATTCCAATGTTTATCCATCTAGGATAGATGTACAGTGTATAAACATGGTTATAATGAAGTCTGAATTGATCCGTTTCCATTGATAATTCAATTGATAAGTGAAGCAGTTTCCTTTTTCCTTCTCCTCCAGTAAACTTGTAAGACATATTTTCAAAGATCTATCTTCAAGATAGCAGGTTTATATACCAACATAATAGATTTAAATGTTTTCTTCTCCAATACAGGTTATAGTAAACAAAACTATAGTGTGCTTTTTGCTTTGGATGCTTTCAGACCTTTATAAGCTCTTCTAGTTTTATTCTGTCAAACAGCAGCACTGAATCATTTTTAAAGAGGTTGAGTGGGTTCCAGGCTTTTGTTACCACTAGAAGATTGAGTTCTCAGTTCCTTCTTGAGAACTGAACATGTTTGGCAATGCTTAGGTTGGGGACATGTGCTGAAGAAAATGACAACTTTTAAATTTTATTTTTACAGTGCCTATTTAGACTTGGAAGTCAAACAGCTGTTGCATTTCATCTTTTTTTTAAAAAAATTGAAACTTCTAAATCAAAGCCAGTCCCATGTCTTTGTACAATTTAATTGGTCTATGTTCAATATATTTGTTTTTTTCTTTCAAAATGATTTTTCTGTTTTTTTTTCTTGTGGTGTGTTAACTGCACATCCTTAATTGTAAACAGCAAACAATAATAAAGTAAGCAAAAAAATAATTTTTGTCCAGTGAAATAGCTGTGTGTTCCCACTCCCTCTTAACAATTGATGTGCATGCTTCTAACACTGATACTTTTTTCAATTAAATTTGGAAATCTGTTGAAAAGTAATGTTTCATACATATTGTTCATGAGTATACTGAAAAGTTTATGAAACACAGACTAACTCTAAAATACTTTATGTAACTCATATTTCTATACATACGGAATACAGTTTTCTTTGAAGAGGTAAGTTTTAACAACTGAATTGTATACTGACACTCCAACAGACATTTTACATAGAGTAGAGAAATTTATTATCAAAGATAACATTGCGTAAATATATATCAACAACCCAAGTATGTATAAATATATTACCTTCCATTAATTTGTCACAAAAAATTTCATATCTAGCTCAAGCTAAAACTGCTTCAGATTCTTTTTTATGGTTTAATAGCTTTTGTAATGATGAAGAACTTTTTCCTCAAAGTTAAGCAAAACTATATCAATGAGTCCCACAAACTAACTTTGTTCTTTCCTTGCTGTCCTTAGATGATTAACTAATCCCAACAAGTTTTGTTTTTAAAATTCTTTGAAATGACAAGTACAAAATTCATTATTGTCAAATGATGCTTAGTTGACCATAGTTAACTAATATGTTAATCGGGGCTATAATGGCATTTTAAATTTACAAAGTGAAAGTATGCGTACTTGGAATTTTTAAAATGTAGATATAAAATTTTATTTTCAGTAATGGATATGTACCCTTTCTCAGAATATAGTGCCTTGCACTTATTTCAAAATCTACGCAATCCAGCATTGTCTAAATGTATATATCCACATATGGCAGACCCATTTCTGTAGGCACACGAGCCCCAGGCAAACTTACCTCACTGCATGCACGCGCCTCCCAGCTGATTTTTGGGCCTTTTTCGGCCTGCCAGAGGCTTGAGGGATGCCTTTGCAGGCCAAAAAATAGGCCTGTTTCGTCACTTCCTGTATTTCTGGAAATACTGGAAGTGATGAAATGGGCCCATTTTTCGGCCTGCAGAGGCATCCCTCAAGCCTCTGGCAGGCTGAAAAATGCTTCAAACAGGCTGAAAATCAGCTGGGAGATGCAGTGTAGGTAAGGGGGTGGCGGGGCGGAATAGCGCACATTGCCTTCTATGTGCTGGCACGCACACGTGCAATTTTTGGCACAGGAGCCCAAAAAGGTTAGCCACCACTGGTGTATATATAATATAAAAGTAAACTAGATTTTCTCTAAAAAAAATTGTTTTAGAAACTAATACATCCAATATATTATTGTTGTCAAAAATGAGCTTGTAAAATGTTTAACTTTTCAGTAACAATAATATAATTGGGTAAATGGTATCATTTGTAGAATAGGAAAAGATAAGACTTTTTCATCACATCCTTCCAAAAATAGTTTATTCTGATCTTGGTGATGGTAGTTCAGCTTCTTAACTTGTGAAAAAGCTCCAGCTTTTTTTTTAGTTTTGGGAAGCGGCTATAGATCAGAATATTTAACAACTCTAAAACACGGGTGTCAAACTCACGGCCTGTGGGCTGGCCCTGCCCGGTTTAGCAAAGGGAAGAAGTCCTGATATGTCACGTGACGCCACGAGTTTGACACCCCTGCTCTAAAATTGCTTAAACTGGGATTGCTACTTGGTTCAATTAATAATTGAGCGCTCCTTTTTTTTAAATTGTTTTCTGAATTTAGTAGGTAGCAAATGATATCAGTATTTTGTTTAGATAAGTTGTGTTTAAGATGTAAGCTAAATTTGACCATTTACAAGATACATATTAATGAATTAGGCAGTTTTCTGTATATCAGAAACATATTGTTTGCATATTACATTCATAATTTCATAGGTTTGAAATGCTCTTCTGGAAATATACACGCATTATTCCAGAATAGGTTTTGGTAGCCTTGTATTGTACATTCTTACAATTTTTGACAGTTTGAAAAAAGAGCTTTTTGGTGATCTTCACAAGTAGTGAAAGTAAATTCATACTATATAAAGTAATAACTTTTTCTAAATATTCTACCAGTTTCCTTGAATGATCATGGGCTCTACTATTAAAAAACTGAGAAAAATCTATTCATTTTCACAATAATTTGCCTTCAGGATATGCTTCATGTTACCTTAGAGAGGAAAGTGTAACAGGGAAATGTAAAATCTATTTTTGGAGTGTTTCAATAATCACTGCTTGAATTAGCTGCATGTCAAAAGTATTTTTCATATATTCAAAACAATTCCTGACTTCAGTAGATTTTGAAATTATGTAATTTGTAGCTTTTTTATAGAATGGCTGAAGTTTGGAAAGCTTGAAAGAACTGCATAAATACAGAAAGACTTAAAATAACAATCAAATAGAGTTTTTTTTTACTCAAAATCTGAAAATACTTTAGAATGGCTTCTAAATACTAATGATGACATTCTTTAGACTTACCTTATAGGCTTCCCTCAGAGGTGTCAGGATGATATTTTTAAACTCCTTGGACAATTTTTCATTGCATTTTTTTTCAAGTCAGTCAACATTTCATATATATTTTCCTTTTAACATCCTTGCCTTTGTAATTCTGTGGAATTACATGATTCCGACTTTATATATTGGACAAAAACTACAAACTGCTTTTTCCAATTGCAGGAAATGATCTAAATATTTATTTTTGAAATAGCGAATATCTGTAGCTCGGGTGTAGGATGAGGGGAAGGTTCTCCGAGCTTGTGGGTTAGATTCTGAACGTTTTGTTACCAGGTTAGGTAACATCTTCAGCAGAGTTTAGGGGATGTCGGGGTCATTGTTCTATCTGATGTCAATGTGATGATGAAAAGACCATCCTCACACGTCCTCAATTTCAATCACAAAGATGTTGACTCCATTTAAATCCATTCTAAAGACGCACCACCTAGACCAAGAAACACAAGAAGACATCAGATAAAGAATCATCCCCAATGAGCAACACGACAAAACACCCAGCCAAAAGGAGAAGAGAAGAGAGCATTAAAGATACTGAAACGACGAAAGCGTCATTGTACCAGCAGACAAAGGCAGCTTGATGGCAAAATGGACAATACTGCATCAGCAAAGCCGAAAATGACACCAGCACCTACCAAATAATCCACAATGATACAACAGAACAAAATAAAATACACCCTAAGAAAAATGAAAAAGGAACAACAGCACCACTAGAGAGAAAGCACATGCAACCACAAGACTCCTCCATACCCAGGTTCTAGGGCCCCCCAAAATACACAAGACCAGGATCCCCTTATGCCCTATTGTGTCTCTCCCTGGAACACTGATATACAAACTAGCAAAAACCCTAAAGAGGAAACTCAGAAACCTGGCCAATGATTCAACCCACTCAATAAACTTCCCAGAACAATTCCTCCAATGCATCAAGCACACCAAGATCAAGAAGAAAGAAATGGTCTTTGATGTCACCACTCTCTTCTCGATTGACATTGACCTGGCTAAACAAACCATACACCACCTACTCACTAAACACCATATCCACAAAAATAATGACAGCACAGAACACTCTATACCCACAAACCATCATGAAACCCCTGGATCTGTCTGTGAAACATGAAACATGTGAAACATGAAACATGTGAAACATCTGTCTGTGAAACATGTCTGTGAAACATGGCTCAATGCATCTCTCCCCGACTCCATTACCACAGTAAGAGACTATCATGTTTACCGATCAGATCGTGAAAATCGTCGAGGAGGTGGTGTTGCTATATTCTATAAAAAATCCTTACATCTAAAAAATATCCAAGTTACCCAGGAGCTTGCCCTTCCTGAAACCATCATCTGTGAACTATCCTTAAATATCACAATTCGATTCTTACTATGTTACAGAGCACCTGATTATGACATCGAACATATAAACAAGCTAAATACACTACTAACATGGGCTACATCCTGCCCATACCCTTTTATCTTTCTTGGAGATTTCAATCTACCTCATATTGACTGGACCCTAAATAATTGTACAACTGAAATCATACACACAACCTTCTTCAATGCTATTACAAATCTAGGTCTTGAACAACTAGTAACCAACAACACTAGACTGAACAACTGCCTCGATCTCATCTTCTGCAATAGTTTGAATTTAATTTACCGAATACAAACCAAAGAACCCTTTTCCAGTAGTGATCACAATATGATTGACTTTTGCCTCAACATACGTCCACGCAAAAATCACCACAACGATGTCATCCCTAGTTGTAACTTCAAAAAAGGCAATTATGATCTTATAGATAACGATCTCTCATCCCTCGATTGGCAATCTCTATTCACTGGATGCAATACTGTTGAAGATCATTACAACATATTTTTACTTGAAGTCAAAAGAGTCATCAAACTATATGTTCCAACAACAACTCCAAAAAAAAAACAAAAAAGCAGATTACCCATATCAATAAGGAAACTTCAATCCAAAAAGAGATCACTCTGGCGGAAAAACAAATCTGGTCACGTTGCTAATTTCAAAAACCGATATAAAAATTTATGCCACCAGATAAAGACCGAATGCACCAATTACCACATTAAACAAGAGGAAAACCTTCTAAGCACCAATTCCACCCGTGCTTTTTACAATTTTGTAAACAACAAACTAAAAGACTCAAGGTCCATCCCTCCCTTGATAGGACCTGATGGTAAAGACTGCAGCGACGACACCATTAAAGCCAACATCTTTAACACATTCTTCGGCTCAGTGTTTGTAAACAGTAATGGATCATGCCCAATGTTTCCTAGCCGTACCACAGACAACAATAATGATCTAATACATATCGATTTTACAGTAG